TGGGTGTTTAGAATCAAAAACAAGAAACGTGTATTAAGCTACCTCAAAATATAAATTCACAACATTTGTGCCGAGCCTATTTAGATTTTTTGTACGTCGTATTAAAGTGTGCTTTTTTTTTATTTCGTAATTTTTAACTGAAATATTTCCTATCCTAACACAAATATCTGAATAAATTCAGATTATATTTAAATTCATACTGAAAATTATTTTTCAGAAAATTAAGACCGCATTTTGCCTCTTATTTTGGTTCGTGGATCAAAAATAAATACAGTGCAGTTTTTCAACAAAACCTATCGCCATATGTCTTAATTAACTGTTTACAAATTTTTCACCATCACAAATACGCCGTTGAAAGATTAGATGATAGCAACTCCAGCTGATACAGTAAAATGAAAATATGACATTCTGAAATCATGTTAACAGTGTTATCATCATTACTTTTAAAAGGAAAATAATACATTCATTTTAATTAAGAAATGCGTGTAGAGCATATAGAAATGTATAGTTTTTGCACCACTCAGTAGTTAAATTATTAAAATCAGAAAAGAGAAAACGCAGTATGTTGACAATGGAAATAATGCATTACTCTTTCAGTTGAGTTTTCTGTCAACTGTAAAGTTTTATTCAGTAGAGCGAAACTACCTCATTAGTCTCACACATAAGATTTAATGTGCCGCTTGAAAATGTTTGAAGTTCCAATTTGATTTGAAGTTATGCAGTTTTTAACAATTGTTTGATGCATTCTTGAAATTAACATCTAGCCAAGTTTTCACAGTTCTTCTCTCTCGCGCCTAATTATATGATTTTAGAATCTACCTATGTATAAATCAAAAATCAACAAAAAATGTAATTCATAAAGTCATTTCTAGATGGACATATAAGAATCTAAATTAGATATAAATACATATATTTGTCTTCTATTCAACCAGAAAAGCTCACAATCTATTCCAGGCTTAAAATAAGAGAGAAAAAATATTTGTAATACAATATTTCACATTTTAATATACATAAAACTGATAAAGATTTTGTGAAAGATTTTCAGTATTTTTGTAACATTTGGTAAATGGTTAGAATTGGAATAGCATATATTACAAGTAACTAGCAATAACAATGTGTCTTATTTAGTCTGGCTTAAAATCACACTTAATTCATATCACTCGTCATTAAATCTAAGACCTTTAGTCCTTATACCCTAATTAACCCTGAAACAAAAAACATAAAATTCCTTTTCGCACTTTCAATGATAAATTAAACTGCAAAGGTGTCATTTCACCGAAATCTATTAAGATATGGATTTTTTTAAAGCATTTTCCCACCCAAGCAAGGCTGGAGAGCCACTAGCACACAAGGGGGTTACAGAGATTCAAAGTGAGGGAAAAGACTGCGTATAGAGGGGATTGAGGAAATTATAAAAGAAGAACAGGGTTCAAGGCAACGAAAGATGACGATTGACGTTGCATTTAAATTTTTGAAGATTCTAGTTATCAGGGAAGCAAATAAGAGGAAAGGTGTTCCACTGTCGGGAAATGCGAGAAAAGAAACTGTTGGAGTAGAAGTGGTGGTTATATTTAACTATTTCAAGAGTAAAGGGTGGGGGTCTAGTAGCACGCCTAAACTCATGTAGTCGGGGTATCATGGAAGACAGCTCATCAGAAGAGTTGCCATGAAAATATTTATAAAAAAGACAGAATAAAGCCACATCACATTTATGAGAGAGTGACTGAAGTCGAGATGTCAAGTCAGGGTCTTTCTTTGGATTTTGCTGAGAACCTCAAAATGAACAGCAGGGGCACCAGACCAGATATGGCAACAATATTCAATGCATGGACGAATGGCAAATTCGTAGATGTGTAAGATGGACTTTAATCTTCTGACACGACACAGTGAAGCGACTTTCCCTGCAGAAGATGCAGGTATTGAGCAGCTACCTCATGTCACTGGAAAACGTGGCGCCAAGCAGTGAGACACTCTCACGGAGTCGAGCTTCAAACATGCTGATGGGGACAGGGAAGTTTCTCTGTGGCGGTTAAATGAGAGCATTTTAGTTTTGGATGCATTAAAGTTTACAAGTCATTTACTGCCCCAGTTAATCGCTGATTGGAGATCCTTTTCAAGAGCAGCGGCCTGGTTAACTTTGTCAGCTCTGCCGGGTTTATTATTGAGACAGGAGTAAATGGTAGTGTCGTCTGCAACTTGAGAACTGATGATATCAGGTAGATCATTGATGGAGATCAGAAACAGTGTAGAACTCAGGATAGAACTTCGGAGGACTCCTTCGTTAGTATGGAAGGAATTGGAAGGGAGACCGTTCAGGATGATCTTCATTTCATGATTTGATAGGAATGATTGGATTAAATAAATAAACAGAAATAAAATATTAAAATTAGAAACGAACACGTACATTACATTCAGAAAAGTCAGGATTCGATCATGACGAATGGCATGCATTTTTTTGTAGGAATTCTGGAACAGACTGTATCCCAGTTGCGGTAGAGGAGGAAAGGAGATTCAGTAATACAGTGTAGTTACCCCATCTTTTATGGAGGTAGACACAAATACATCTTTTACTTTTAAATAAGAATAAAATGACCAATTTTTACAAGATGCGTAAATCTTTCCCTAGCTAGTAGTTAAAAATTTTTTAAAAAATGATGATACAAACCTGATCAAAATTAATGATGCGTTAATACTATTAATACAAACGAAAAAAAGTGTCTAACAAAAGACTGAAGGAAAAACGAGTTATATAAAATATGAAAATTAAAATTTGCACCCAAAGTAAAATATTTAAAAATTTAAAGATTCATCATTTACTCTTATAATACTTAATTTAAAAAAAAAGCAGAAAATACGAAATGTAAAAGGATAATATGAATAAAGACAAAAAGAAAATTTATCTTAGCCGACGCGTTTCGTCCTCTGAAGAACTTTATCAAGGCAAACATTTTGCAAATTTGCCTTGATAAAGTCCCTCAGAGGACAAAACGCAAATTTACCTTGATAAAGTCCCTTGATAAAGGACGAAAAGTTTGTCTTTATTCAAGATATAATATCTCACTAAAAAAAAAAAAGTAATATATTAACGCAAAAGCAGAAATATTTTTAGAATTTTTAACGTTTTTCATTTTCCTCCTAAATTCTTATTTTAATTTAAATTATAACCCAATTATTTGAAAGTTAATGTTAAATTTTAAATAATTTTTGCATAACGATTATGAAAAGAAAATTCAATAAATTACTTGATATTTGTCACAAAATACGTACAAGTCAATTTTTAATTATTTATTTTCATTTTCAATTTTTCCAATGTGTAAAATCTTTCTATTGTTCGTCTATTTGCTGAAAGAATATAAGCAAAAACCAAGTGCAAAATTGCTTCAATTTATTTTGCTTTTGGGCTGAGATTTTTTGTCTGGTGTGAAATATATTTTATCACATTTAGAGTTATCACGTTTTCTGTGTTGGTATGAGATCTCTAAAAATGACTATATGCACACAATGTTCACTTTTTTGTTAATTCATCAGTCAGACAAGAGATTCAATTTTTAACAGTCAGATTCGATTTTCATCAGTCAGATTCGATTTTCATCAGTCAGACAAGATTTTCGATTTTGGAATGAGTCTCCAATGTTGCGTTTACGCAAAATTGGAGACTCACTCAACAAATACGTTGTTACAACACAGAGATGATGGACGGATAATATGAATTTCCTTTGATTCAACCTATTTCATTAATCAATCATTTCAGACACTGAAATGTAAAACACAACACATAACTACTTACTATTTTAAATATGCTTTAGCAACAGTTTGATCCTTGTTTATAATCTCTTCAGGAAGTTAAGAGAGTGGAAATTTCTTTTACTCAAAGACTATGTACATTAATTTGCTCTAAATCATCTTGCAGATTCTTGTTGTTGATTTAATAAGCTTTGTTGCCAGAAAAGATTATTTTTTATGTTATACAATAACGAAAAATGTTTGTGGCTGTAATACAATGGTAACACCGGTTCTTGTTAAATCACAAAATGCACGACCATTTTAAACGTTCCATCCACAGTACGTAATTGTAATTCTTGCAGTTCGATCCGTTTGTCAAATATTTTTTGGCTTTAAGTAGCCGCACTTTTCGATCAGTGCGATAGAACTGGGGCTTCTGATCAAATCTTTATCATTTTAGGACAATTTTCTCTTCAAGGCGACCACAGTCGGAAAATATCCAAAATTTGCCGTTGGCAATAATCAATTGGTAAATAAATATTTCTGTCTGGTTTTATAAATAAATTATTCATTTCTGGATTTGTTAAAACTCCAAACCAATATATTCTTTTTTGTAGAATTCACGATTTTTCAGAACATTTCGGAACATGTATCCTGAGAATTTTGTTATTGAATACGAATTGTCCTGTTTGTTGAAATTTTAATCTTCTGAAAAGACACTTCATCGTGAATTACTGAGTGATTATTGAAATTGTATTGTTCCATTGCAGGTATTTATTCAACTACAAACATAAGGGTGGTTCTATCGCGACTGATCAGATTATGACTACCTCGATTTTTCTCACTTTAAAGCTAACTTAATACACAGATCTTTCAAAAAGGTTTGTTTCTTGAAAAAAGAATATGTTTTTGTTGTTTGTCTTTTTAACAGATTTGATGACCAGTTTGTCGCGAGATTATTCGTTCTTATAATATTTATCACTTTTTTCATCACTTGAGAAATAGGCGTTACAGAAGTTGCCATCAGTTAAAGTTCTTTCATTGGCTTCATTCATAAATTGTTCCATTTTCTGAGCAGCAAAGGAATAAAATTAACAACAGTTTTTATGCTTTGGACACCATTCTAATGTTTGATTCTGGAACCAAATGATTCTCATATTGCTGCAAAGAGAAAAAAATTCAGATGCGAGAGACAATTTGAATATTAAATTGAACTTGGAAAAATTAAATGAACTTGAATTAGTTCAAGGATAATATTACTTACAATACACATTATCTTACTCCAAATCATCAGATATTTGATGATTCTGCAGACAAAGACATTTCTTGTAACTCTGGTGCGGTCGGGCTCGTTCATAACATTCGCATGGTTCCCTTGCTTCGTCACAATGACCGGGAATGAAACGGTTTACAGTTTTCTCCAAAGTGAGCATGCTATCAGCGCCACTGTAGCCCAGTAGATGGCTCTGGTCTGCACAGTGACAACAGTGTAATATTTTTTTTGTCTCCTCTTCCTTTGAACTGATTATCGAGTCTTGAGATGCTGTAAAGTTAATTTAAGCTGATTGATAATTTCACATATTCAATAAAGAAAAATTTTACACATTTTTAATCTTAAAATTTCATTTTTCGTTTTCCATCAAGCACATCGAAAGATCGAGAAAATGTGGGATATAATAAGACGTTAAATTATATAGAAAGATAAATGAAGTATTTAACAACACGTACAAATGCACAGATCTGCACAAATATATTTACATGTGAGAGTAAGCAAACAGCATTGGATTTCTTGAAAATATTTCGAAAAAGAAAGTAAAAATTATGAGAAACATAGTTTCATTCTATATGAATGCACATATTGAATTCATCATCAGATTAATCAGTATTTAGTTTGGAAATAATGTTGAAGTTGTTTGCAAGAAAATGTATATTAATTGGAATGCTGAAAATAAATAAACCCTTTGAACATAATTTATTTCGCAAACGTATACGTAAAAAAAAGCGATAATTTAATTACCATCAGATTTGCAAAATAGACGTCTCCTCGTCAACCCATTGGGTATGCCATGTTCTTCATCTTGCCATTTAGAAGACGACGGTGAAGTTCTGTATTGATACCTGGAGTGAAACGATGGATTTAAACAAGTTGAGGACCAAGGGGCATTTAATGTACTTGCATGTGACCTGGGACAATGTTTGGACGGAAATATAAATGTTTTCATATTTGATCCACTGGGGGACTGAACAGGTGATTTGCGTCGTGTCAAAGAACTGCTTTCTGCTGCACAGTGCTCAATAAATGCCGACGAATTTGGTGAGCTCTCTAAATATTTTTCTGATATTGGGGACTTTGATAAGTGAAACTGTTGCAATTTACTTGAAGGTGAGACAGAAAAACGCGACTTTAGAGTCGGCGAAGTTAGTTTCATAGGTACAGGTGATCTTGCTATATGAGTAGGGCTTGTTGAAGGGTGCTGAGATACTATTCGGCTGCTTTGAGAAAATAATGGAGAATCTGGATGGACATTACAAGAAGTTGATGTCCGAATGGATGAAGTGGGATTCTCTTCTGAATGTGAAGACATCGTATGACTAGCTGCGTAATCCTTCAAAGAAATGAAGACATTATCTCGGATTTTAAATTTTGCAAAAACATAACAGTTTTACATTATTTGCAATAACAATAATAATAACAATCATAAAATAGACTATTGTACCTTTATTTTGGTAAAATGATCCATGAAAATATGTGCTTATTCTGAAATTTAACATATATAAAGCGAATGGTGGCAAAATATTGATGTTTTAAGTGAAAATTTTTAAAAATACATTTCACAAAATTATTTTTAATTGTTATTTCCTATTTCTTCACCAAATTTAATTCGGTTTTAAACCTAAATTTAAATTTTTTAAGGACAAGATTACACGTTTGAAAAATTGAAGATTACACTTTTTCAAGATTGAAGATTACACGTAAAATACGCTTTAAAAAGTGAAGACTACACGTGAAACACGTTTTAAAGATTGAAGATTACACCTACGACTGGTTGCAATATACACAATAGATATGTTTAAGAGGATTATGAAATATATCAAGAATTCAAGAGAATAAACTAGAAATATTACCTTTGTACAGTTCTTCATATAGATCCAGTATCTTTCGTCGTGTAGATACTCTCTTTCTCGAATTGATTCTTTATTAGAAACGCGCCGGCACAATATCTTTCCGGGACGATCATCATCTTTCGTGGGCCAAGCGCAACAAGATTCATCTCTTCGATAAATTCCCTGTTCATCGTAGGCAGACTTAAAAGTAGACACGAATGGGAAACTCTCTGGGAGGGCACATTCTGGTTTATGATTAAATTCTGATGGAACGAGTTCAGATATAGAATGTTTAAATGGACGTGCCCAGTTATAATGCATGTTTTGCTGACAGTGTTCCTCGCACACCTTATCGTGAATGATACCAGGTCCGTTTTTTGTTTTGTTCTTCATGGAGCAGGAAACAGCTTCAAAGTAAGATTCTCCATCGACCTCTTCTCTTTTTACTGGAGTTGTTGGATAAGGCACAAAATTCGGATCTTGGTCCACACTGACACTCTCGTAATGACAAAATCCACAGGCTGGAGAAGAAAGTTCTTGATGGCAAACTGGGGAAGAATTGCACAGCTTGTGTAGAGAACAATTCTTATGTGGCGAGGCTTCTTCGCAACTAAGTCGCTCATATCTGCTCGATACAGAATTATCTTTCTCCATCTGGCTGTTCTCATGAAAATGCGTCATATTTCTATAGTCGATGGTTTTTTCTAATCTAGGTGATACGTCAGTCGCTTCATCCGAACTTCGTCCTCGTCCGTAAAACATTGGATCAAATTGAACGAGGGGCGATGATGACATGTTCAGTTCTAAAAAATCATCAGCCACTTCTGTATCACTAAAGAAGTGACCATCCATTGATCTTTTGCGGTATTTTTTCCAGTTTGGGCTAGGAGAAGCAAGAGGAGAAGTAGGAATCCTGACTGTGTTGTTCCTAGGAACCGAGGGAAATACAAATAAGGTTTCATCATCCGTAGAGTCATTATTTCGGGCCCGTTTCGATGGTGTACATGGGGACTGCGTAGTTTTGTATGAATGATGAGGAGAAGATATAATTTTACTTTTATACTGTCCACTTGATGGCTGATGGGAAGCTGGAAACATGTATTGAGTTATGGAAGTTTGACATTTTGCACGTGAAGGACTGGCTGGTTCAGAAGACTTGAAAACTAAATCGCTCTCATCACGACTGCTGCATTTTTTGGAAACAGCTTTAACTTTACCTTTCGGTGGGTCTTGCAGTTTGAATGTTCTCATTGGATTTTCCTCGTCTACCATAGTTGTTTCACTATCTGAAACTACAATTGAAAAAATTAAAAACAGCGAAATATTAAAATAATATTATTTGCATTCATTAGTTATTTCTGATATTATAGATTTTTCCGATATATTATTTTATTCTCATCCACTATTCCTATGATTTTATTCTTATCAACGATATACACATGCACAGAAACACACGAATATGTGAGTATTTGATATACATTTTAAGTAAAAAACTTGATTTACTTTCAAAGTTTATGTAGGCGTTTTAGGCTTTAGGTTTATTAGCGATGGACATGACGTAGAAGAAATTTTTGAAAAGTTTTCCAAATGTTTCAGGGCTTCAGAATATGTGATATAAATTCACAAGAATTTTCTCTTTACGCTTGCTTCAAGTCCAAGTGGCATACAGTACAAGTGGTAGTTGTCTTTCATTTTGTTTACAGTAAATAATAATAATAATAATAATAATAATAATAATGTCTCTATATGGACATTTCTTTACATCGTTGTTTGCATCTATTTGTGAGTCATACGTCCCATCTTCCGGTTCATGAAAAAGCAACAACTGCGTTTTTTGTTCTTGATTTTGTTTTGTTTTTTTTTTGGTGGGGGGAGGGTCTTTGCTATTTTGTAATTACAAAAATATTTTAACACTTCCCAAAAAAGCATATAGGCAATATGTAAATATCTGTGCTCAGGAGAAATAAACTTTTCTTTAAAAGTTACAGATACTGATGAACCATAATTACAGAAAATTATAACGTCGATCAAATCTCTAAAGTACAAATATAATAAGAAACAATATAGACGCACCTTCAGAAGAAAGCAAATGTACTGGAGGTAAAAGAATTGTAGGTGGTGCAGCCGCAAACTTTTTTGGAACAATGGAGTCAGCAGATGCAGTTTCCTTAGACTTGGATTGCATTGACTTTGCGCTAAACTCTTCGTTCTTGACTAGCCGCTCCTTTTAAAGGAATAAACAAATTCTCAAAAGAAAATCTACCTCATTTTTTTTTTTCAGTCTTATAATAAACACTGGCGATAAATCATATAAGGTGGCGATAAATTATTTTTTTATAATAATGTTCACCCTCTACAAGACCCAAGAACCAGGGCTACAGAGTAATAGGCGAAGTTTATGGGGATATGTGGGGAAGTTAACGGTTAACTTTAGACTTGAACAGGTTGAGTGTAGTGGTCATAGAAGCATCTTGGGATTTGGTTCCACAAAGCAGCGGTTCATAGGAAGATGTTGCTCGAGTAGAACATGCATATGACCAATGGAATATGAAGGGAATGAGGTTGCTTCACTACAATGTGTGTGATATAGCGGGTTTTAGCTGTGAATGTTAGAACTGGTGCAACTAAGGAAATAGCAATAAAGTAGCGAAAGGCTTTTAAACGAGTTGTAGTGGGGGAAATAATTCATCACCGACAAGAATGCGGAGACGCTTTTGGACTCTATCAAAATTGGAAAGTGAAGACTGCTTAGTTCCTGACCATATTTGGCAGCAGTACTCCAGTTAAAGTTAAGGATAGCAGGAGGAGTCAGGTACTTACTAGTACGTTACAGGGAACCGTCCATTTTCCCAGCATCTTTAGCAATGAATCATATGTACGAGTTCTACTTGAGGTCTGGGTTGAGTCCCAATAGGCGCTCAAAGCATGGGGTATCCCTGAGAGAACATTCGTTTGTTAAAAATAAGAATCAAGTAATCAATGAAAAATAATTGTCTTTTTTATATACGGATCATTTTATTTTTCTAAACTGTATTTTAATCATGTTATAAAATCAAATTTACAACTATGAAAAATGTCAAAGTAATCAATTCAAAATTTATATTCTTAAAAAGGTCAGTGAAAGTGAATTTTAGTTAAGATTCGGGAAATATTATTTAAAACAAAATAATTTGATCGTCTACCATAGAACGATTATTAGTAAGCTGGTCTATTTTTAGTAAGCTTATTATTTAGTTATGAGTTCAATCCCCACTTTTGTGGCCTTGTAATGTTAAACAAAACTATTTAAGATAAAACAACGAGGTATATGTCCATATACATAACTTAGTGTATGAAAAACACCAAAACAGAATTTAGTAAGTTGAAAAAACAAAAATATTAAATTACTTTTTTCTTTTTTTCGTCGCATTCTGTAATATTTTACGTTCACAAAAATTACTGAAAATAATTTTTCATGGTTTGGCTTTGGTTTCACGAACTTTTCTTCTAAGAATTTATTCAGCCTACAATTTTCATTTTTCAAAATACTGGAAAACCATTTCCGTAATTATCCTATAAAAATATCTATTATATGGATATTCTACAAACAATTACGGAAATAGTAATTACATTAAAAGTTAATTGAGCTAATCATAGCTGTATTTGACCAGAAGGAAATGTTTGCTTCTTGTTCATGCGTGTGAGTTACTAGTAAATAAATTACTGTTCTTTGTAATATGTGTGTGCATGCGTATGTGAAAATTTACGACATTAAATTTTCAAAAGGTCAAGCGTTTACATATACAATTTTATTTACATTTTTAAATATTTATGTAAAATATAAAAACAAAATTTGGGTATCTATACAATGTCAAAAAGAAAGCAATTCAGATATGATTTGCACTACAATCAACATAAAAAATGTCAAAACTCACAAAAAATTAGAAAGACAAAGTATCCACGAACCTTGTTCTTCATTTTTGCAAAATTCAAAAGCATTTGTTTTGTCTTTTTACTACTCTTCCTGGAAAAATTTCATGAATTCTGTATTTGTCTTATTTTCTGCAGTGCACTCTATACTTCAATACCTTCCATGAAAAAGAAAATCTAATTTTATAGCGATTCAACTAGAATGCTACTAATTTCAAATCTAATTATCGGCTTATTAGTCTCCTACCTCTTTTTGGCTACATACTAGAGGCTCTAGTCAACTCTAAATTGGTTATGCATCTCACCTCGTAAGGCCTTCTTTCGGATAAGCAATATGGCTTTCTCTTCTCTAGGTCAACTGTTAATGTGTTGACAATTATTGCTGAAAGAGTCTGTCAATCTTTAGATAAGGAAACTCGGACTGTTGCTTGGGATATCTCAAAGGCATTTGACAGGATTTGGCATACTGGTGTTCTTTACATGTTCTAAATCTTTTTGCATAAATGAAGGTGTTCCCCAGGGCTCCATCTTTGGAACTCCGTTTTTCCTAATTTTCAAAAATGACCTTCGTGATGTCATCAGTTCTCAGCTCGGTATTTATACTGATAACATAACTATTTACTTCTGTCTTAATAGTAAATACGATCAGTTCGTAAGGTCAAAATGGCAGCTGATCTCAAAAAATCTGTTGTTAAATGGGGTAAGGCGTGGCTTGTTAATTTTAACGCCTCCAAAATGAAACAACTCTTTTTTAATCATCTGCGAGAATTCTTTTTACCTTCCATAAACATAATTGATTCTAACCTCAAGGAGAGTGATTCCTTTCGCCTTCTCGGATTAAGGTTTACCGCTTATATGAGGTAAAAAGGGCATATTGAATCAATTACTAAGTCTGCAACTAGGAAAGTTGGTTCACTGTATCGAGCTAGAAAGTTTCTTCCGACAGAATCTATCTTACATAATTATTCGTCCATGCTTTGAATATTGCTGCCGGCTTTGGCCTGGTGCCCCTGCTATATATTCAGAGATTCTTGATAAAATCCAAAGAAGAATCTGCAACATTATTGGTCTTGACCTGGAAATTCAGCTCCAGTCATTTTCTCACTGCCATAACGTAACTTCTATGTACAAGTATTTATAGAAACTATAAATATTTCCATGGTAATCGTTTTAATGAACTTTCCTCTGTGGTACCTAGACTTTATGAATTTAAACGTAGTTCTAGATTGGCGGTAACGTCTCATTAATTTACAGTTCAAATTCTATGATAAAAGTTTTCTCTATCGGACTTCTCGATTGTGGAACTCTCTTCTGGCAAGAAGCCAGAAGAGAGTTCCACAACATTCCAGTCAACTTTGATCTTCAAAAGGGTAAATGCAATGTCTATGGTTACCTTTGTCTTCTATTTTTGTTCTTTAATGTCTTTCAATAAATGTATATTTTTCTCATATTCGTTTTATTGTCTTGCTTGGGGTGAAATGATTAACAAAAAGAAAGATTAGGTCAATGTATTAAAAAAGGGCTTTATTTCAATTCAATTAGAAATGATTTGCTGAAAACTTCAGATTTTCACCTAGAATGTTTATGAATCTTTGAACTGATAAAAAGAACTAATGCCGTTTAGGAATCTACTCAGCTGCTGGGTCCACGTCTCAAAGAGAAACATCTCATAACATAACACTGCTACTGACATGCTTTTTTCTGTATCAATGTTGTTTTCTAGCTGTTTTGAATGCATACTCTTTTTCCTTGTTGACAAACAGTTAAAATTTAGTTTTATTCAGCCATAATAGATGTTTTTCAGAATCATTGAACAAAGTTATTCACAAACTAGATTTCCAGCCATTATTATCTTTGAAATATTTAAACAAAAACTGGCCAATCTTTTACTTTCTTCATGATTCCAACGACTACTAGTTAAAGTCCTAGTAGACTCGAACTGCATAGTCTAGAGATATGTGCTTGTTGGAAAATGGCTCCAAGTGACAGCCCAGACTTTTGTAAAATAACAAGTTGAGTTATAATATCCTCTTTGTGTCCATTGCGCATGTATTTTCTGTGAAACAATTTTGTAGTTTTGCATTGACTTCTTTTTGACATTAAATTGTTATCCAATGTGTTCACAAATGTAAATAAAATTGAAAATTGAAATGAATTGTGTAAACATTCGACCTGAGCTATAACTTTAGTTCAGATATTTTAGTATCTCAAGATGTTCATAAACAATAATCAATAATAACACTGGCCTGCGTTTAAAACATTTTTCTAAAGATTAAAGGTTTATCAAGCGATATATGATCATTTTATACTGAATTCAAAAATACCATTCATTGTGTTTGGTCAGTTCTGTTTTTTTAAGATGTGCTTGAATACTTGACAACAAGTTGTACAAAATAACACTTATTCAAAGCCTGTCACAGCTGATCTTGGATGCCTGATGTTTAGTATAGAATATAATGTTGCTTGTGTACCTAACTACAATGTACCACCCTAATCGATAACACCCACATACCTAGAGGGGGCGAGGTTTATCCCTCAGCTTAAAATGATTTTAATGTACTATGTCAAGTATTAACGACGAGCTGAGTGCTGATTTATTTTTTTCTCTTTTCAGCTTGACATTTGTATTCCTATAAGAATAGATCGCAAGTATAAGTAAGGTTCTGTTACATCTGCAGTAATCTAACCCTAACTGTTAAGCATAAATCACTGACTTTGGAAATATGTCATATCGCGATTACTTTGGAGTCAAACTAGGGGATAAGGATAAGCCATTCGCTCCCTACGTTTGCTGTAAAAGGAAGAGTATGCCATTTGCCATTCCAAAGGTCTGGATGGAAAGAAAAGTTCACATTACAAACTGCTATTTCTGCTTGATAAATCTAAAAGGAATAAATCACATGAACAAACACCATGTCCAATACCCCGATGTTCCTTCTGCCATAATACCAATCCCTCATAGCCCAGACCTTCCTGTTCCTGAGCCAGATTGTAACATGGAATATAGTTATAATACTGTTGTAGCTGGGGATGACGCATACATGCCAGAAGAGGACGACCAGCCAGCACCCTTGATACAAGCCGAACTCAACGACCTGGCACGAGATCTGAAGCTTTCAAAGGAATCTACTCAGCTGCTGGGTCCACGTCTCAAAGAGAAACATCTGTTGGCACCAGAAACAACGTTCTACTGGTATCGAGGCCGTTAGAGAGAATTAAGGCAGTTTTTCACGTTCCAGGAGAAGTCATCATTGGTTTATTGCAATAACATTGCTGAATTGATCAAATTAATGGGCTTAGAGTATGATGCTACGGAATGAAAACTTTTTATTGACTCGTCCAGCAGAAGTCTCAAAACAGTTCTTCTACGTAATGGGAATAGTTTTTCACCTATCCCTATTGGGCATTCAGTACAAATGAAAGAAACTCACAACAACAGATCATTTGTTGTCTGTCAGGAGCACAAATGGTTGATCTATGGAGATCTTAAGTCATAAAAGTCTTAACTAGTCCTAAAAGGTGAGTACACAAAGTATCCTTGTTTTCTGTGTTTCTGGGACAGTCGGACTGAAGACCAACATTATGTCAGACAAGAGTGGCCATTAAGACAAGAGTTAAAACTTTGCTCGCATAACTTTCAGTCTCACACTCTCGTTGAACCGAAAAAAATACTGCTTCCAAATTAGGAGTAATGAAGAACTTTGTGAAGGCAATGGACAGGGAAGGCAGCTGATTTGCTTTCCTCCAGGAGAAATTCCCACAGATAAGCATGGAGAAACTCAAGGCTGGTATATTTGATGGCTCTCAAATAAGAAAACTCATGAAGGACCTAATGTCTGACGAAGCACTAAGCTAAGTTGAACTGTCCGCCTGGCAGTCACTGAAGTCAGTAGTTACAAACTTCCTGGGAAACCACCGGTGTACGGAATACGAGAAGGAAATTGAAGAGATGCTGAAGAGTTTCCCCCAACTCGGGGCACGAATATCAGTCAAACTGCACTTTCTGCAGTCACACTTGGACTATTTTCCAACAAACTGCATAGTCTGTGGAGATTTGAGTGAAAAGCAAGACATTCAGCAAGACATTCGCATTATGGAAGAGCGCTACCAAGGCCAGTGGGATGTAAACATTCTCGCTGACTACTGCTGGTGCTTGAAACGGGATGCGGTGGCTGCCGAGCACAGGAGAATGTCACTTAAAAGACCTTTCATCCATGAATAGCTTGTTTTGTGTATTTTTGAGTTTACTGTGGCACAATGTGAGTCTTCTGCTTTCTTTTTCAGAACCCTAAATTTAGCATTATTTGATTAATTCAACAAGAAAATAAGTAATTGTAATACTGTTCTATACATTTCAAGTAAAAGTTTGTATCTTAAAAATTTGATCTGATTAGAAAACTATGAGTATGATTTTTGGATTCAGTGTAAAGAAAACTTCTTAAAATATTATTATATTCGACCTTGAAAACATCGCAGGCCAGTGTAATTAATTTATAATTTCATTAATATGCAAATCTATATCAGATAACTATCGCTTATTTCTGCAATAAACTTTTTGTGGTACAATAGAAGACGTTATATCAATCTTAGTGAAGTGATTTGACGCACCTCCAAATGATTTCTAGTCGATTCGATAAGAGGACTTTGCCAGGATATAGCTGGTTTGAGTAGTTGGTTTTTCTTTGGGGTAAGCGGTGGAGTCGGTGGAGTATATTCCATCAACATGGCACGCCCTGAATCTTTCGCTGCTGTAAAGGCCATTGTGGGAGGTGGATGTTCGCATCTGCAAACAAATAATTACTATACAGTTGGCAGATAAATATTGGTCGAAATAAATATTCATTGAGAGCTGAATGGAAGACATATATGCTCAAAACGAACACAGCGAAAAAACAAACTAATGACAAGCCCTAAGTAGCAACACAATAAAAGCTAGGTACATATTTATTTATATCTATGTATGTGTGTTTGTATACAAGAGCATTTTTGGGATCCTAACACGTGTTCTCTAAACTAAAAATTCGACAAAAATATCACTTGTCTAGAGTGTTGAAAAAAACTTGTATTAATGAAGAATTCCTGACTAATCTTTCATGCACATGCACACGCACACACACACACACACACACACACACAAATCCACACGTACGTATGTGTATGTATATTTATATATATATATATATATATATATATATATATATATATGTCTGTGTGTGTATGTGTGTGTGTGTGTGTGTGTGTGGGTGTGTGTGTGTGTGTGTGTGTGTGTGTGTGTGTGTGTGTGTGGTATTATGGAGCCGGACAGACTAGGTTAATTAGCCTTGGTTGACAACCGTTCTAGGAATATAACTATTCTGAATTCAAAAGCTGATGTGGGCTGTTTGACCCCACAATGAACCAGTTCTATATTATCACTTCTTTCGAAAAGTGTCGAAAAGCCTTTAACATTATAATCAAATCATATATATATATATATATATATATATATATATATATATATATATATATATAGACAGAGAGAAAGAGCGGGAAAGATAGTGCCTGTAGATGGGTTTAAATATAAAAGATACAATTTCTTGTTTAAAGAGGAAATAATTAAATTATCACTTAAGTAATTTTAAATTTCATCAAGCTTAGCAATTTTGTAAGATAAATTTTTAGGTAATAATCAAATTTTCCTTCAAAAATGCATTGCAGGTTTTCTTCTCGATAATCAAAAATCAAAGTCTGATAAAAATTGTCTTTTAAGTAAGGATTATAGGCTGAAAAACAAATATTTCATGAAAATATATTTTATGTTACATCAAATTCTAATCACCATTCTTTGTGGAATTTTGTTCCCGATTTCCATAGAAAAAATTCTCATAACGTCTTGTCCAATTTGTTAAAAAAAAAAATTAGTTTCTGTCATAAAAATCTATGACAATGTTCTTAAATGTGTACTTTTAATTGACTCTCGAGTGAATATGGAATATCTATTTAAAAACAAAATGTTTAGAAACTCAGTTTTACACTGTAAAACATACCTAAGTGCCGATTGGTAGGATTTGGCCATTTTCCACTTGTGTAATACATCAGAGTAAAATTGCGGAAACTAAAGAAAACCAAAGCAATGCGTAAGTACAATACGAAAGATTCCTAAAGGGCCTAAAATGCAAGTGTTATAAAAGAATATAACCTGAATGAGACTACAAAAACAAGGTGTAGAATGCCGAGAGAAACACTAAGTGACGTCTGCGAATGAGATCATCTAAAAGAAATGACAAGAAAGGAACGAGTGGATGACAGTTCAAATTCAACAATGCCAAGGGATGAAAAAGAGTGTTGGAGGCTAAACAGAAATTAAAAACAAATGTAGGCAAGGTAAAGAGGAATCACTCAATGAAAAGTGCACAGAAATAGAATATAAGTAACACAAATTAAGCAAGTATGCACAGCAAATAACTAATAGGACGAAAGGTGAGCCAAACAACAAGCTCTATACGATCATAGGAAGGGTCACTAATAATATAAAAGGAAAAATACACCAAAGGTGGAGTGAATACGTCAGAGAACTTTTTCATGATGCGAGAGAGAAACTTACAATGCTTGAAAATACGGAAGGGTCAGAAATATTAAAAGATGATGTGAGATTAGCACTGGAGAAGATGAAGAGGAACAAAGCAGAAGGGCCAGATGGAATCATAATAGAAATGCTCTCAGCTTTAGACGACTTCGGCATTGACAAGATCACAGAAGTAATAAACAAAATATAGAACAGTGGCAAATGAATCTCAGCTGACAATCGATTAATGCGTCATCATTAGTTTGATTATGATCAAGCTAATGATGCGAATCTTGATGAATAGAGCACGAAGTAGAATTAGAACAGAAATAGGACAAGAACATGTGGCTTTCTCAAGGACATTGGAACAAGAAATGCAATACTCATGATTAGAATGATATCAGAGAGAGCAATGCAAAAGTAGAAGGATGTGCACTTCTGTTTTATGGATTATGCAAAAGTATTTTACATGATACGGCACAAATTTATATTTGAACTGCTAGGAAAACTAAATATTTTCGAAAAGATGTTAGAATAATCCAGGGAGCACACCGCCTGCATACGACACACAAAAAAAAAAGGAGTTTAAGACAAGGATGTATTTTTTGCCTGGATTTATTCCACCTCTATATTGATGCTATCCTAAGAAAACTTGAGACTCTACCAGGAATTATTATTGGTGGACGTAATCTTAACAATATAAGATACGCAGATAACATGGCAGACTCGGAAAGAAAACTGCAGGATATCCTAGACAGGGTAGTAAAAGAAAGAGAGAAAAAAGGTATAATCCTTAACTGGCAGTATATAAAAAACAAGAGAAAAAGCCCAAGATGCCAGTTACAATTTGGCAAAGTCAACATCAATCAGATTCAGAAGTTTAAATATCTGAAAAAAATTTTAACATAGGATGGAAAATGCGACACCGAGATATTAACATGCATTGGACTAGCGAAAGAAGCATTCCAAAAGATGCTGATAAACGGAAAACTTTCGTTAGAAACAAAAAGTGCTGGATGTGATATACATCCTGGCAGTGGATACTAGACAATCTCCCCAGCGATTAAGCAAGAAATCTTTTTTTAAAAATGGTAACAGAAAGAAAAATTATGCTCAGAATCAGGAAAATATAGCTGAAATTCTTGGGATAATAAGGAAGGAGGGATTGGAAGACTTAACCCTCATGGTACATATTGACAAATAACGGGAGGCAGCGAGTATGAATGGATAATGGGGGGCGAGGGCCTTAGCAAAAGGGAGAAAAACTGCGAAGAGCCACAAAGGATAGGAAATTGTGGAGAGCCATAATAACCCATGAACGGATGCGACGCAATAAAGAACTTATTGCTAATTATAAGTATTTTAAGAGGATCTACTTAACTTGACGTTCGAGATAATAAAAAAAATTGAAAAAGATGACTTGTTTAAATTTATATTGACAAAGAAAACTGAAATAATTGATAAAATAATGGACCATGTCAACAAAAGTGCCACTCGTTAAAGTTTGTTTCTGCATAGAACGTTTAAATTCCTTTTAAGCTTGTTGCGAAAGTATTCCACCACACTGAACTTAGCAAACAAATTAAATATCACTGTATGTTAGTGGCATACAAGGATGCTTACTTAAACAATTTTTGTATGGGAAATAATCTGATACTATCTCAATATACACATCGGTTATATTATGCGGAATTTATTTTCATATCAAAAGTTTGTTTTTTCATTTAGATCAAAATTCAAGTTAACGTTTAAATGACATGAACTATGAAAAGAAAAACAAATGGCAGAGGAAAAACAGATTAACAAAAGCATAAAATATAGAAAATTTGGGACAAGTGAAAGTTAACATCGAAAAATCTGAAATGATACTTTCATTGTAATAGATGAGAAAATATCTTCTCATGTTTTGAAAATCCACGACTTAGTGAAAATATTTCTATTTACAGTTTACATTTTTTAAAAATGATGCGAAATCTGTACAACTTTCATATACATTTCCCTCATATTGTCTGTCTATTGGAGAAAAATAAAAATTATGACTCGAATCACGAAGTGTCGCATTCAGAAATTTGCTTTCCTAGCTTCAGCGATTCTTAAGTTTCGTGGGCTCGCAGGTTGGCCGACATCTCTGATTGGTCGAGAGAGACTATGCTGTTGAGCACCAAGTAATTTGTTTCCTGTCTTTTGTGAATTACTTTATTTGCTAAACTACGTCTTCACGTTCACCTACTCAAGCATTCATTCATAATTCTATACTACGCTAATCAGAAGTTCTTTTTCGGAGCTTTCCCCATCATAGGTAAGAAAAGTATTTACAAATTTTATTGATATTTGATTATTATCATTTACTTGTTAGAATTTTCAGAATTTCAAAATATCTAAGTATTCAACGCTTTTTACAATTTTATTTTATTTTTTAAAATATAGTGTGAGATGGGGGAAATTATTTTATTGAGAATGAAAACATTACAGTAAACTTTATAGGTAAAAATAACAAAAAATTTTGACGTTCTGTAACGATACATATTGAAAACAAATTTTTGTCATATTTTCCCACAGATAATAAAAATAAGAATTAACTTAAAATTGTAAAAATAATAGATTAAATTTGATAATTTCATCTTTTATTTTTACAATTTAAAGTTAATTTTTTATTTTTATTTTTACAATGTAATGTATATATTTAGAATATATGTTGATGTTACTTATGAATGAATTAAATTTCTTACGATAACCACTTAAAAATCTATGTATAAAAGGAATAATTTTTTTATTTCTCAGTCATCATCTATCTGTAATAATTATTACCCTTGAATCTTATTGCAGCTACTAAACATTATCTAAATTACAATCCTCCTCCATTCAGAAATAATGTTGGTTAAAACTAATGTATTAATATGCAATGGGGCATATCATACGCAAATTTATTTAAGTAAAAATTAATAAAGAGATATGCAGTTAGAAAATTTGTATAAAAGTATCGCACAAATTAAATGAAAGGGGTTCATTAATATAATTCAGCTTCAAATGCATTTATTGGTTTATTTTTCTATCTTTCGTTTTAGATCAAAACGATTTAATAAAGCAAAAAATTCAAAAACTCTTTGATTCACACTATACAAACTAGCTATATATTTTTAATATTTTGACACTATATAGAGAACTGTTCAGATCTTTTGAAATTTTGACACTATATAAACTAGCTATATATAAATTT